CGAAAGCTGTTCTATAATGCTAAAAATTGAATATTAATCGTACAATATTTATACTTTAAATAGTAATTTCTTTTCTTTAATTATGCAATTTAAAATTAAACTGGACATAGTGAAAGTAGGAGAAGTTGAGAAGAGAGAGATAGGTGTGATTTAGTGAGATATTTGACTTTAGCGACTGTGTTGTTGAGTTATTTGACATTAGAGGTAATATAAAGAAGAAGATGACATTTTCTAGCAAAAAAATTTTGTGAAAAAGAATTTGAACCGTTAGATGAAAATGGATGAAGATTGAATTAATTTCGATCACTGTTTTGCTTTTACAAATGTGCAATTCAATTTATTAGGATCAATACTATAAAATCCAAATAAAACCAAAAAAATTACAACTCAAATGCATATCATCTCATTAATTTTTTCAATAGAACTCACTCATTAAACACTCATTCAAGGGATGATATGCATTTGAGTTGTATAATATTTTTTATTTATTAGAATCAAATATTAGATATATATAAATATATGTGTGTAGAGAGAGAGAGGGGGGGGAGAGAGAAAGAGAGATGGATTAGGGGTTAACGTGACATTCCCATCCACCCATGTGATGGTGCAACCTCTTGTGGTGCCCAGTTAGTTGGATGGATTCTGTCCCTCAGTCTACAAACAGATCATTGACCAGACCCTTGAACAGTGCCTTGGATGAGTGATTGGATATGCCATCCAGTTGTGTTGAACTGATCTGAATGCATAGATGTCCATGTAATTGAGGCTATGGGAACTCTAATAAGGGAGAATAGTATTATCTTGAATAGCAATTATATGAATTTGCGATATACACATCACAATCACCAACAAATCATACACATATAGTAAAACAAGACTCCTTTGGTGAGATTTAAACTTCAAATTAAAGATAGAAATATCTTTCAAGTTTGTACACCCGAACTATCCTAACAAACTAAAATTTTTATTTAAGAACAAAATTTTTGTCCTTTTGCAAGGTTATTCGAATCGTAAGTTACGATATCCAGGAAATAGTGAAGTACCATAATGAAAGCTCAAAAAGAAAGAAAAAAAAAGTTGAAGAACTGAAATTCTTAAGCATCCTTGTACTCTTGTTGGAATGAAAAGGTAAGTGTATAGTAACTCCGACCAAGTGATGAGAAAACATCGAGTGCATTTGTCAAGCTTCTTCCTTATTGGTATACTGTAGCAGTCCTATTCCTTATAAAACAGAAAAATAAATTTTTTTTGGTCAACAGAGAAATAATTACCGTAACTTGTTTTACTATATTTATAATTTTAGGATATACTTTGACATTATTAGTTTATTTTGATCCAATCCACAACCATGATATGATGTTCGATCAACTCCAATGGTAGTTCAATTGTTCAAGTGATAACAGTGACGAACTGTGAATTCAAACATCTTGAGTCCGAATTATGACAATACCTTAGGGTCAGGTGATGAGAAACTTATCCCACATGAATATTCTATTTTCGGCATTGATGGATTAATCGAGGTACAGATAAGTTGGCCCCCGAATGCCATTAGCCATTGAACTAAAAAATAAATAAATAAGATAAGATATTTGAATTTAATTTGTTGATTTAATTTATTAATACCGTTTAACTGGCAGATCGGATATAATTGTAACACACACAACAAATCAAAAGATAACAACAAGTTTGATCTGCAAATTATGTCTTAACCAACATTAGTCAATAATAATTTCTACATGGCCCCACCTTGTAACTCCAGCTGGGATCGATAACCTTTTTCCATTCAAATCAAAAGTTAATCACATATAAAAAACCTCATTTTCTTGTCCTTGTCAATCCCTTTTAATTCATTGTCTGAATGTTGTCCTTCAACTTTCAATGCCATGAGGAATTTTACACCCAAAATGGGCTCTTTTTACCCCAACTAAAAGACCATTAGAAACTAGCTAAGGACTTTACATAAGCAGTCAGGTGGGTAGGTAGGGGAGGTTGAGACCTAACTCTTTGAGTAGGTTCAGACTAATATGAGCATTAGTCCACTAACATCACAACTCTCATAATTTTTGCTTGGAGAAAAGTATATCCATGTTACAACGAGAGCCCTCTGAAAAAGAGTGGGGATCTTACCACACATCTCTCATTAAAATATTTACTTTGATAGGTCATCTTAATTTTGCGAATTTTCAGTTATCATGACGGATTAATACTGTCGCTTTGGCCTTGTACGATCATTTGAATAGACATCTTTTTAATAGAGTGATTAAAAGTTCATTAAAGTTACTCGGTTTTAAATTTTTATTTATGTTTCTAGTTTTTTTTTTCTTTGTTCTAATGCATTAATAGGTGTCCTTGGGAGTACAGTAATATCTGTGGGGCAATGGTTTAATTATTGTCAGATACCATCTGAACCACAAGTATGAGGCTTATATTCATATGTGAGTCATTTCCAGTTTAAAATGAACATAGGACATGCCACCTCCCCCTTAGTATTCATTGTAAGATGGGCAATGAAATAGACTCATTTTCTATGCTATATACATTGAACTAAATTTAAAGTTAGGGATATGACTAAAAATGTTTTATATGAAAAGGTTAATAGCCTATGAAAAAACTTGTAGAACCCAGGTAAAAACCTAACCCAATCAAAGACTTCAAATGATATACTACATTGAGGTTAGCAGTTGGGTGGGGCTATCTCACCCCCACAAATCTCAATTCCCACGTCATTTAATTTTTTTATCAAACTATTAAGTTCATTTTTTCTATATCTATTCTATTAGTAATTAAGCTCACCACATGCTACATATACCCCCATTAATAGTTAAACTCATTTATTCTATGTGCACCTCTTTAATGAAAGAAATCGTTGTAAGAAAAAAAATAACAAAAGAAGACAATTAGTTTGAATGCATAAATATATTTACGAAACAAGAAATAAATAACAAAAAAGGAAACAAGTAAAAGAAAACATGCATGACGAAACAAGAAAAAACAAAACAAAAAAAAAGAAGAAGAAAGAAGTAGACCGAAACAAGAAAAAAGAAAAAAAAAATGAAACAACAAAAAAAAAAGAAGCAAACCCAAACAAGAATGAAAAAAAAACCAAGCAAAACTAAGACTCAAAACCGAATATAAAACAAAAACAAGTATCAAGCACACATACAAAATCGAACAAGAAAAATAATAACAAGTATACATACAAAACCTTAACAAGATAAAAAAGAACAAATAATATAAAATCATACATATATACACACATATAAATTCTAAATAAAAAATTATTAAATTTGACAGAGATATCAAAATATACAAAAAAATAATGAAAATTCATATAACAAATATGAAATCAAACATAGAATTAAATTGAGAAGTAATTTTAATCTATATCTCCCCTGAAAAAATTCATATTAAAAAAATATTTTTGTTAGTGTATAAGAAGAGATAGAGAATGAAATGTTAATTATGACAAAATATAAAGTGAGTTTACTTTTTTAAAAAGATTTGTAAGATGAGAATAGCGTCAGTCTTAGAAGTTAGAGTTTCGATTAATAAGTATAATTTTCGCAAATCCAAAATTTATGTCACAAGAGTCTAATAAAGAAATGGTTAATTCTCCTTTGTCACAAAGTTGCAGATTTCCAAAATTTTGTACAATGGTGGTTGAACATTAAATAATTATACCATCTACTTCATAGTACAATATGGAATTTTTCCAAGCATGTAATCACATTCAGCAAAGGTAAAGTAAAAAAAAAAAATCCTTAACCAGTCAAGGTAATTCAAATTAGAAGGTCGGAACTATCTCAAAATTATAGGTTAAGCCTCAGTTAGCTTAATGTGTATGGTTCATCGGTGATTGCATGCATTTCAAGTTTGTCTTGCAATCAAGAGCCCAACAAAGGTATGATTTAAATCAACTCGGTGTTACCAAAAAGGTTAGAGATTCTTAAAACTATTCTGTAATAAAAGTTGAGGACTAAACAATTTTAATATTTGATTTCTGGGAAAAACAACTAGATAATGTCATATATATATTATGGATTGGCAAGCCCCAAAATGTAAATGAGTCTGCTGCTTTCATTTGAAGAAAAAGTTTGCCTATTAAAGAGGCAACACAACCCTAATCATGGAACTTGAGAAGAAGAAACTCCATTGAAAAGCAGAGCAGAGTTACAAGTTGCTTGAACAATACTCTCCAACACACTCCCATGATTGCTTTGGGCTTGGGACAAATTAACTATCCTGTGTAATTCCCCAAATGCCCCCGCCCACGCAAAAAAAAACACACAAAAAATCAACTCATCACTTCAGGAATTCTGAGGGCCACTGTAGCCCTCAGCTTATCTGAATTGACTGTCTAACCTACATACTTCCTCAAATTCCTCTCTAGTTCTACTTGTTTATTAATATAATATTTATAATCTCACATAAATAGACTTTATATTATTTTGGGTTTGCAGAACACAAAAATGAGATTATTTCGTTGTCTTGGAAACATAGAAAAAAACTTAGATGTAATCTTACGTTTCGTTACAATCGTATGAACTGTTGTTACAATTTAGAACCTCACACTAATTCAAATAGATAAGATCGTACGTGTTAGTATCTTAAATCTAAGCAAACTTTGACACGCCCATAATTCAAAAATATGTCACACAGTTCTTTAACTTTGTATTTGAAATCACAAAGAGATATTGTTATCTAGACTTTTAATGGCAATTCTAAAATTGTGATCACATTAAATTTTATAGTGGAAGAGCAGTGAATAATGGCCATACCTGAACTAGGCAAGGGTGAAAAGAAACTAAAGAAAAAGAAAAAAAAAAACAATTAGAAGGTGAGAAACGAAGTAAGTAGGCCTATTTTAGTAATATCCTCTAAAATAAGGCGCGCATTACCTCAAAACGACCTCGTCCACACACGTCAACTTCTTAAACGTTGTCGTTTATGTCAATTCGGTAACAAACTGAATATTAGCGGTTATTGCAATCTCCTCCTCTTTATAAAGCAGAGAGATGGAGAGAGAACAAAGTCCTCATGTGTGTCAGACTGCCACAACTAAAGCTAAACCACCTCCGCCGCCGCTCTAATCCGGCAATGTTGCTGGAAATATCGACTTCGCCACCACCAAAATCTGCTTGATACTGACCATTCGCCACCACCATCATCATTCTTAACCTCTCAACAACAATGTCACTCTCCAAACAAAACCAAGCGGCCTCAACTCGAGAGCTCAAGCACCGAGTCCTCACCTGTCTCCACAAGCTCTCCGACCGCGACACCCACTCCGCCGCCGCCGTGGAACTCGAGTCGATGGTCAAGACTCTCTCTCCGGACACTCTCTCACCCTTCCTCTCCGCTATCTCCGCCACCGACTCCGCCGACAAGTCCGCCGTCCGCAAACAATGCCTTCGCCTGATCTCTCTCCTCTCCGAATCCCACGGTAACTCCATCTCTCCATTCCTCCCAAAACTCCTCTCCTCCATCATCCGCCGCCTCCGCGACTCCGACTCCTCCGTCCGCTCCGCCTGCATTTCAGCCACCGCTTCTCTCTCCTCACACTTAACAAAACCTCCATTTTCCTCAATCATGAAGCCCTTTGTCGACACTTTAGTCACTGAACAAGACCTAAATGCTCAAATCGGAGCGGCTTTGTGTTTGGCGAGGGCAATTGATGTGTCAGACGATCCAGAACCAATGTACTTGAGGAAGTTGGTGCCGAGGATGGAGAGGTTGCTGAGGAGTGAGAGTTTCAAGGCGAAGGCAGCGTTGTTGACCCTGATTGGGAGTGTGGTTGGAGCTGGCGGAGCAAAGAGTCAGCTTCTGGTGAAGAATCTGGTGGCGTGTTTGATGGAGTTCGTGCGCAGTGAGGATTGGGCGGCCAGGAAGGCCTCTGCGGAGGCGTTGATCACATTGGCAGTCGTGGAAAGGGAAACCTTACCGGAGTTTAAGGCTTCGTGTTTAAAGACTTTTGAGGCGAAGAGATTTGACAAGGTTAGAATCGATTTGAATTGAATTGAATTGGATTGAGTTCTAAATTTGTGGATTGGTTTTGTGAGTGTTCAATNCCTTACCGGAGTTTAAGGCTTCGTGTTTAAAGACTTTTGAGGCGAAGAGATTTGACAAGGTTAGAATCGATTTGAATTGAATTGAATTGGTTTGAGTTCTAAATTTGTGGATTGGTTTTGTGAGTGTTCAATGTGTGTGTGTGTGTGAATTTGTATTGACTGATATGATTTGTATAGGTGAAGATTGTGAGGGAGACGATGAATCAGATGGTGGAGGTTTGGAAGGGGATTCCTGATTTTTTAGAGGAGATCTCGCCGCCTCCTGAATCACAATTCTGTTCTAAAGGTAATCTAATTGCTAACTAATAAATTGTTTTAAGCATCCATTGTTTGATTGAAATGAAGATTAAATTATGTGGTCATGAAGCAAATTATGAGTTCTTGAGATTTNAATCACAATTCTGTTCTAAAGGTAATCTAATTGCTAACTAATAAATTGTTTTAAGCGTCCATTGTTTGATTGAAATGAAGATTAAATTATGTGTTCATGAAGCAAATTATGAGTTCTTGAGATTTGAGCAGTTAGATGAAGCATATAGCTTCAATTCACAATAAACACACATATTAGGGGCTCATATCTATTTCAACCAGAATTATTGCAGATCCGTTTTTGTCAGTCATTATCGTCATTCTTCTTGTTTATTTAGTTCAATCGATGGATTTGTAGGTTTGATCCATATTTTCAGTTGTATTTTTGTTTTTGTGTCTTTGTTGCTACATTCCCTTGCCTCCTAGTTATCTATTATCTGCCAGGTTTTGCTGCTAAACTTAAAGTTTTATCAATATAATTTCCATTGAAGTTCTAATTCCTGTCTAGATTACTCTTATTGTTAATCCTGATTACTACAGCATCATTTGGTAGCATTTGTATGAAGTTGTTTATTTGTAAACTTATTGTTTCTACTACGTTATGGTGATAGAGGATGCTAGTGATGGGCACTGTCCGCCTGGCTTGAAGATTTCCTGCAATATTAGCTCTGGTACTCCTCAAGTAAAGAGAAACATCGTCCTGGCTGACAGATCACCTTTGCCTGATGGTTCTTCTACTGCTACAACAAGGAGGAGGAGTCTTCTCGACAGTAGTGACAAGAGAAAAGGTCCAGCAATGTTCCGAAAGCTGGACTGTAAGAAGCCCACAGGTGGGAAAGTTAAAATTTCTGCTCCTCATGCGCCTTTGAGGGCAGTGGTTGGTGAGGATGAACCAGGGTCTGGAGACGAGAAAACACAGGAGAAAGTTGACAAGGATAGGAATGGGTTTCAGAAGACGGAAATGACAAGACGTGCCCTTTTCAGTAAGATCTCTGATGAGAAAATACACAAATTCTGTGGATCTCGTGTTGTTCCATGTAATGATGAGAGTTCAGAATCTATTATCGTTGTTAATAATGTTACCGGAGATCTCAGTAGAGGCCATAAAGAATGTGAGGATTTATCTTTGATCCGCAAGCTGCTTGTGCAAATTGAAAATCAGCAGTCCAATTTATTAGATCTCCTCCAGGTAATCTGCACATCCTTGCCAATTAGGCTTACTCATCTCACAAGTTTGTGATGTCAATTTTTTGCTGCAATAGAATTGTCAAGAGTTCTGTTTTAAAGGCCCATATGATATAGAAACAATATTTAATGTTAGAATGTTGCATAGTACCAGACAGAGAATCTCATCCAATAAACTCCTCTGCTATATGGCACTAATCAGCTGCTTAAGCTCAGAGCTCAAGCATGCCAAATTTTATTGCCCTGATCATCCTTCCTGTCACCTCTAGATAACGAAAAGTGTGTGCGCCTTGTTATCCTCTCGTGATCATTCATAGTATACATTAATAAGTTGCCAATATATCAAAATCTGAGTCGATCCCTCCATAATGTGAACTTCATGAATTATTAATAATATAATGAATGCAAGATTCTTGAAGTTAGTCTGAAAATTTCCTGATTTGAAACCTATCCAAATTATTTTGGGGCAGGAATCTGTCATATACTAACTTGTTTTTAGGCTTACCATTTTTTGGCTTCTAATGCTGAATTAGTTTGAATTTCAAATTGTTTCTAAGAAATGGTGGCATTCATTTGAACTGATATTATGCGCTTGGCTGGAATGAGATGCTGCTTCAAAGCCGAATGTCTTATTGTGTAATGCATCTGCTTTCTGATCTTGTCAGTGTACTCATAGATAGTTGCGGTGTTCAATATACATTGTAATGCCATTAATAATTCTAGTGATTTAACTCATTCTCTTACTATTATGAGGTCTTTTTCTCACATTTTTCAGCAATATTCTTGTTCTAGGGATTCATTGGGAGCTCACAGAATGGGATGCATTCTTTGGAGACACGTGTTCATGGTCTGGAGCTGGCGTTGGATGAGATCTCATATGACTTGGCTGTGTCAACTGGAAGGATGTCAAATCCGAACTCTGCAACCATGTGTTGCAAGCTACCTGGTGCAGAATTTTTAAGCTCTAAGCTCTGGGGAAGAACAGAAGGTCGGTTTTCAACGTCCCGGTTTTCTTCCAGTGGAACCCCATCAGTGGCTGCCATGCGCAACAAAACCGATAAGAATGGAAACAATGAGACATTTAACCTGGAAAATAGGAGATTTCGGCACCAGGGTGGTGGTGGTGGGTTTATTGTGAATCCACTGGCTGACATCAAGTCCCAGGGGATTTCAGAGATTACATCAAATAGGGTCTCAAAGAATGTTCCTGATGGCGTATAAAATGCCATAGCACATCATCTACCAGAGTTACCAGCAGGTACTCTATAATAAATTGCATACTGGTCCTTAATTATGTGTTGCAGTCTCATTTTGAGAATATAATCTAGCAAAGGCTAGTAACAGCTTAGATTTCAGGATAACACTGTCTGAAGCGTGGTCTCCTGCCTTGATAACAGTAAAGAGGAGGTCCAGGCACAAAGCCTCACACCAGGCTCTATTAAATGTCCTTTCACTTTCCTAACCATATCAGAAACCTCATCACAATCATTTGTTATGGATAGACAAACAAGAAGGGCAGGCCATTGATTCGTTTTCTGGTTACTTTAGGCTTTTCTTTCTAAACAATCTTCGGCTTTGCTCTATCTTACTGGCACAGTAGCTTACCACGTAACCACAAATGAAAAAAAAAATGGAGGAACAAGGCATTAGCATTAGGAAAAAAAAAACTACAGCCTTCTTTCTTTTCTTTCTTCTTGGAAGAGATCCCCCTTAATCCCAATGGAGCTGGAGGTCACAGTCCAGTTCCCAATCAGGGCTCATGGAAATTTTTTGCCTATGACCGAGGAAACAAAAGNTTCCCCCCTCCCCCACCCCAAAAAAATATATATATTAACACTAATGGTTAGAAATTAGTGAAGTCGCCGCATTGGGATGAATAAGGAGGAATATAATATAATCTACTGAATCGAAACTACATATCCGTAAACCTAATCATGAGTAAGGCCAAATCCAACTCAAGTCTACTATTCATCGGCTTAAAGCAATTGAACTTAATTGAACACAAAAATGTTCAAATTCGACATGAAATGATGAAAAAGCACATACAAAAAGAACCAACAGCTAGAAAACTATCAAATACACACACACTAACAGATTAATATGGAGTTTGGGGGTTACCGATTGGGCGTTGTGCCAAGCGAGGCCGCGGTAGACGTTGACGGAGAAGGTGGCGGCGAGGTAAATGGTGGCGACGCCAAGGCCCGCCGTGAAAGCCTTGAAGGCCCAATCCCCTGCTTTGCTTGCCATTCCCATTTTCTCTCCTGCTTCTTCCGTGCTCTTCTTCTTTTTCTTCTCTGGAGAGGAGAACTAACATTTACCAAATTGAGACCTGATGGCGTATAACCACGTTGACGATCAAAAAGTGTATGTGACGTATGATGACCATGGAACAGAGCTATAAACCTCGTGTGATACTGCTGTGAAATATTGAGAGAATTAAAAAAATGTATATAATAAAAATATAGTGGTTCAGCTCGATTAGTCCACTTTTCATCGGAGGCTCTTCCTCCTGTTATTTTATTTACTAGACAAATGCATTACAATTTTGGTATATCTCGAAATTAGGGTTTTTTTCTTCATCATGCTTCTCTATGGAGGCGCTACATAGTATTTATAGGACTATTTCCTGTTCTGTAGGATCTTAGCTGAGATCTTCGTCTGTTATTAGTGGGATTCTCCTTGATTTTAGGAGAGAATCTTGGTTGGTTGAGAGTTTCATGTTTTGAATCCAATTTTCGTANTTATTCTCACAATAAATACCCTTATAACAAATACCGCATACAGAGAAATTCCCAGCAGTACAATGCAAATATACCACTGGAAATGTAAACCACATCACAAATCTATTCTGCTTGATACAAGTGCACACCACAGCTATAAGAAGTCACCCAATGGACAAGCAAATAGCTGATGTTCTGTGGTAAAAGGAAAGATATAAAAATAGTTGATATACTATTTACAAACCAGTTAAAAAAAAATAACACTTATTCATTGAAAAAATTTCTATAAAGGGAGGGTAATGTTTATTTGAAATTCAGGTGATGCTTGATGGCCTATGCTAAATACTTTAAACATTCAGGTTACACAAAACATAATCCTGATATAGAGCTGTTCTCTGCAAAATCAGGAAAAAAATTGCAATAGCGTNAGAATATTCCCAAAAACAATCAAAATTAAAAAACTATTACATACAAGAATTTCCATTTCATTGCCCGTGGATGAACCCGACCCAAACTTAGTGAATTAAGATTGATCAGTTCATAGCATAAACTACTAAGAATGACGCGATCTCGAACACCAAATTGGCCCGAGTTAACATTAAACAGGAATGACCAAGTTTTAAAACGATTACGCAAAAAATTTTGGATGTTTTTTTTTTTTTCTGATCTGGTATTACCTCTTAAAAAATATAAGTCGAGAAATTTTTTCTTGGTTTTGTAATTTCTTATTCACAAGTTACAAATATAAAACCGAATATGACACAATTAAGAAGCAAATTAGATTGGTATCAAAATCATGTAGGAGTCATTAAAAAGATCAATTTGAGATTGTATAGTAAATGCACGAACTCAAAATGACACAACTCGAGCACAACATAACAAGACTCAATTGCCAGTTTGCCACCACCATCTACTTATCACTCAGTTTCCTTCAAAATAATTCGTTTACTTCCCATTCTCCACAATGTGTTAAGAGTTGATCACAAACACATAATGAGCATGTTCATGCTTTTAATAAGTGGAAAACGCACGCCCACAAAGCTTATATCAGGCCAGGAAAGATCAATTGAGCACAAGCAATAACCCGGCGAACCTACTACTCCAATGAAACTGCAAATGAGCTATAGGGTTATTTCACCCAATAACAAGCAAATAAGAAATTTCACAAAAATAAAGACATTACAGGTAAGAAAATTTTGCCACAAACACAACCCATCTAATTGGAAAGGGCTACATAACTCTTGAAACAACATTCCAGCAACAAGACAGGTCCACCTAATTCAACGTTTCGCCAATAAGCAAAAGAATAGAAATGATATATGCTATATGAACATTCAAATTCAAAATTGAACCAGACCATGTTTAGTTCTAAAATTACNCGAGCTCATCAAGCCCTAGGTTCTAGTAACACAGGGATTTAGTCCTCCTGAGGTATTGATAGAAGCTCCGCTCCCCATTTTTGTTGTTAGACCTGAAGACGTAGAAGGTAACACTTTTTGAATTGATTTCCGNAAATTACGAACTACCAAATTTCAAAATGTTCTCTTGAATTCAAGTTGTATTGTCTGGACCATTTATGAGCTATCACCCCCACTAAATGGAACACATAGATGCCCCCATGTTCCTAGTGCAAATCCAAGGAACCAAAAGTCCAAATAGGATTTGAGGGTTGCAGATANGGAACTTCAGGCTAAGGTTGACCTATTGAGGAAGAATAGGAAGAGTAGCAAACGAAAGGCTGAGATCAGCTTTGGAGGTAGCCTCGTTGACAGGGCTAAGGTGCAAAAGCTGGGAGTGCTTTTTTCTCCTACCTTGAGCAAAGAAGAANTGCAAAATGGCCAAACATCAGAGCGCTACCAGCAGAACAACAATGACAGGACACTGAGCAAAATAAGTCAATTGTCACAGGATTGAGCAACACTCCATGATTGCATAAAAAATGACCTGCTTTACAACTCTCAGTCGAATCCCTAGGACCTTGTCAAACAACACAACGACCCTCCTGATATTTTTTGCAAAATGGCATGCGACCCTTTACTTTTGTTAAGTTATAAGAAGACCTCCTCAGTCCCCTGAAAAGATTACTTCGGAAACTAAAATCTAAACTGTCAAGATTATAGCCTTTATTCGTTGTCAAAACAAAACAATCCAATTTTTCCTCCATTGAGGCAGCTCCCCAACCCCCAGAATGCGCACCCACCCATTTGTTCTCCCTTCCCTCCACTCCCATCTATCATCTATGCCTTCCTAACCCCCCCACCCTCGAACAACTG